CTAACACCTTAACACCTACCTCTACCCACCTGCCCTGCCTCTCTTCTCTAGTGTCTTTCCCTCCCCTCCACATGTCTGCCCTTCTGCTTCACCTCCACAATCCCCCTGGCACCTGCACCTCGCCTTACCTTACCCCCTGCAACCTCCTGGTGCCTACTCCCTTTCCCTTCCTGGTGCCCACTCCCTCACTACCCTCTATCCTAACACCTTAACACCTACCTCTACCCACCTGCCCTGCCTCTCTTCTCTAGTGTCTTTCCCTCCCCTCCACATGTCTGCCCTTCTGCTTCACCTCCACAATCCCCCTGGCACCTGCACCTCGCCTTACCTTACCCCCTGCAACCTCCTGGTGCCTACTCCCTTTCCCTTCCTGGTGCCCACTCCCTCACTACCCTCTATCCCAGTTCTCCTCACACTCCTCTGTAGCCTCAATGTGACTTGCTCCAACCCCTGTCTTGCTCATGCCAACCTTTCAACTCCTTTTCTCCCAGCACCCACTCCTCCCCTCTCTTCTTCCTTCCTCTTGTCCCCATTGCCCCTCCCCTCCGCTCTCTCATCCCCATTGACACCTTCCCATTCTCCCTCACCTCTGCCCTTTCCCCTCATTGTCTTCTCTTGCCCCCCTGGCATTTGTCTCTCCTCCACCCTGTCCCTTGGTGCCTTCCCCTTTCTTCTACTGCTCTGGTCCCCTCTTCTCCTCTCAGCACAAGCCCCAGCCTCTCCTCACCCCCTCGTTTCCCTTAGTTATCCCTCTGCCCCTTCCCTTACCATCTACCATCCTGATACCCAGCCCAGCAGGTGCAGGTAACATGGCAGGTGTCTGCCCAATATGCCGAGACTTGAGCTAGGGCCAAAGTGCTATTTTTATTACTGTGGTCTCAACCCCAGCAGCCACCATGCAGCTGCAGTCCCGCTGCTTCCAGGGGCTAGGCCATGCGGTAGGTATCTATGCTGGGCCTGGAGCCAGGCCACCGTGCTATTTTTAGTACCATGGCCCAGGCCTCAGGGTGGCTGCCTAGCTGTTCTTGGGGTGGGCAGTCACCTGCCACGTGGCCCTGCCCCTGGGAGCATCTGGACGGCTCTGCTGAGGAGATGGGCAGGAATGAAATTCCTTACAGGGAACCCTGATTAGGAGCCAAGGGGGGCAGGCAGCCTGGCTCAGTCTTAGCTCATGCCAGGTCCGGGACCTACCCCTGCTGTAGCTCTGCATTTAAACTGTATTAGGATACAGGTGGGAAGGCAGCCTGGCTCAGTTCCAGCTTGCACCAGGTCTGGGAGCTCAGGCCATGCCCCCAGACAGGAGCTGCTGCCATTCCATGCTGCTACGTCTGTATCAGAGGCAGCAGGGTGACAGGCAGCCAGCTGTGAAGGGAGCTGGTTTTTAAACTGTCTCCCCTCTAGAAATGTAAGCAACTAGTTGACTACCGGCTAAGCCTATACTTATCAGGTAGTTGAGTCACTACTCAACTAGTTGCTTCCTTCTCCCCTCCCCCCATGCCTTGCTGCCTCTATCAGAGGCAGCAAGTGGCGGGGGGAGGGGAGGGAAGGGGAGCAGGTTCCGGTGTTGGGAGGAGCTGGCTTAAAAGACTGTTCTCTCCAACACTGTCTCTGCTGGGGTTGGGGGGAGGGAAGGCAGCGGTTGCAGAGGCACAGCGGGGAACCTGGGATGAGTGGGGACTCAAGCAATTGGGACAGCAAGTGTCCCCCCACATCCCTTATGACCTACTCAATGGAAGATCCATCGACTAAGCAATTAGCTGATTAGTTGAAATTTAACATCCCTGGATTCCCTCGTAGACTGGCTCCTGCCTGGTACCCAGCACTACTGCCTCTGACACAGAGGCAGCAACGCAGGGTGGCAGGGGTCTCCCTGGGAGTGGGGCCAGATTGCACTGGCTGCTAGTCCCACCCCAGGGATTATAGAATAGTCGACTAACTGCTAAGAATTAATGCGGTTAGTTGAGTATTCTGTCACCTGCTATCTAACATCCCTCCTTTCCACTTCAAGCTGTAGCTTTATTCCACCGAATGCTGTGTGTCAAAGCAGGAAGACGTTAAAATGATCTGGTCCTATCTTTTCATTTTCTATCTTGGATTGTTCTGCAGATGCTCTAAGAAAAACCAAGCCTTAATGAAGGAATTGCAATCTTAGTCTGGTTCTCAAAGCAGAATACGAAACAATTTGGGGAGCTAGTTTGGGGATATACCAGCATGAATCCAAGCAGCGATTACCAGTTCCTCAATGAGATTCTGGGAAAAGCCATGAAAATCACCTTGAAATGTGGCATCTTCCAGGGAATATTACAGCATGTGGATTCCAACAGAAGTATCGTTCTTAGCAGAGGTTCAGTTCTTTTTCTGTACTTATCTTCTAAATTAATGTAGCTCTTCAAATGCAGGGAGGGAGGATGGGAGGTAGAGTTCTCAAAGGTGTATTTACATATTGTAGAGATGTGAATGGTTAACCAGTTAATCCACAGGTGGGTAATAATTTTTAATGGAGGGCCACTTCACAAATTTCTGAAATGGCCCTGGGCTACCCTGGAATGGGCAGGGCCTCATGCGGATTGGGCAGAGCCGGGAGACTTTCTCTGCGTTTCTCTCTAGTTGCCACGTGCCTGTGGCGGGGGCAGAAGATGTCTCAAGTTCCCCTGTCCCTAGGTCTTGATTGGCCTGGGGCTGAGGAGCGGCAGGGTGGCTGTGGGCAATTTCCACCAGCTAAATCCAGCCTGTAGAGGCCCCTTTGCTCACCCCGACTTAGATGAAATAGATGGAGGAGGGCATTTTTTCCCAAATTCTGAGTACTGGATAGATCTGAGACTTGGTTTATTTTTAAACATCTGGGATTTGAAGTTAAATAAAAGGCATCAGGATTTATCTTGAACCAGTTAAATATGCATATAGTTTTCATATCAAGAGAGTTGGTAGGGACAGAAGAGGGTTCTGATGTATTTTTGCCCTGCATAGCAATATAATTATGTGTAAGTAGAATCTATTATTTAACGGCTGACTTTCATTGATAACTCTAAAACAAGTAATC